TATATATATATATATGTCAATCAATTAGTAAAATTTGAAAAATAGATATAAAAATACCTTCAATTTAAAAACTTCATTATCTTGTTCAGCTCGAGTCTTTTGTTCTAATAGAACGTCTTCTGCACTTTTTAATTGTTGTTTAAAGTGTCCAATAGCTAAATTCTGGCTTTCTAATTGTTTCTAAAGTTTATAAATTAAATTTATGAGTCTTATATTTTTTAGTACTATAAACATTTTATTTTTTGTCCACTGTGTAAAACAATTAAAATGTAAAAAAAGAGTTAGAGAACATAAAAAATATTATTATTAAAAATAAAAATAAAATTTGAATGAAATTTTTATGACTACATATTTTGGCATCATAAATTCAAAAAAAAATTGTTCAGCCATGGTCGACTTAAAAGTTTTTTAAATAAAACTTATTTAAAAGCATATGTGAACTACATTCTCATTAAATTTAAAATGTTCTTTTTTTACTGCAAAATAAAAACAGCTAGTGATATATTTGGCATATATAAAACAATCCCATGTTTTGCTCATACTATAAATCTTATAGCTAATAACGCATTAGTGATTGTATTAATTTAAATCAATTGAATGACAAAATTAGAAATATTGTAAAATTTAAAAATAGTGTCAATTCTTATGATGAATTAAGAAGTATCCAAAAAAATTATGGTAAAAAATAATATGTAATGTTCACTATTTTAAAATATTGCATTTCAAGTTTATCAAAAGGAAAAGTTTTAAAATTAATATTGGACATCGAGACACGTTGGAATAGTCTATATTATATGATGGATAGATTTTTACATTTGTATCATGTTGTTTTTTCTATTTTATTAGAAAGGCCAAATTCACCTGATTTAATAATAACTAGAGAAATATTGATTGTCAAAGAAGTTAAAAATTTGATGCAACCACTTGAAGACATGACACAAAAAGTCTCTGGCTAAAAATATACCACAATTAGTACAATTTTACCATTGATAAATTGTATCAATAGTGCGGTGAATAATTGTCAAACTACATCTTTAATTGGTATTGAATTAAAAAAGTATATATTATTTTAACTTGACAAGCGTTTAAAGAATCTAGAAATATTTAATGACTTTCCTCTAGCTACATTAATTCAAAAACATGAAGTCCTTATATCCAAATTTATATTACATTGCTCTTCAAAAATTAAGTATTGACGATACCTCTGTTCTATCAGAACGCTTATTTTTTTTTAAAAACTGGTCAAACAATATCTAAAGTAAGAAACAGATTGACGGGAAAACATTTATCTAAGCTTGTCTTCATGAGTTAATTAAGTAAAGTAGATTAGTTTTCAAAAGTCTTATAATATTATAAAAAAATTTATATATGGTTTTATTTTTTAAAAGTCTTAAATATTTTTTATTTTGATTAATTTTTTAAAATAAAGTGTCTACTTATTTCAGTTTACATATTAATTTTTTTTAATTTAAATAATTCTACTTTAATTATTTGAAATTAAATTATAAAGTACAAGTCATATTAGGCTCCAATAATAGATTATATAAATTTAAGTTATGAGGTTATATACAAAAATTAAACCCTTTATAGCATGTATAATTCGAGAAATAGAAGGATGTAAAAACTTATCATTATTGTTAATTTACGAATAAATATCAAATTCAAATAAAATTGGGTGATACCCAGACTTAAAAATCCTGTAAAAATTGCACATTGAAACTGTGTTTTAAATGGTTTACCAATTTTTTATTATTGTTTAAATTACTATTATTAAAAAAAAATGATTTCGAATTTTACTACCCAACATGTAATAATGGTGTTTGTGATACAGGATTAAAATAGTTTTTCTTTAAATATTGATATTTTAGCTTCGATGCGAAGCTAAGAAGGTATTGGTTTTACTAAGATGTGTTTTTTTTTTTTGTGTCTGTTACCACTTTTTCTCAGCTCTCACCGAACCGATTTCTTTCAATGATATGTCAAAAGATCACAAATCATATCTAGTCGAAGATATTACCCTCAAAAATTGAAAAAAATTCCCTCATTCCCTGTAAATGGGGGTAACATCCGAAAAAATTACAAATTTAAAAATGGCTAATTTTCGAAATTTTTTCAATTTTTTTTACTAAAAACTGCCGTAACTTTTAGCTTCGATGCGAAGCTGAGAAGGTATTGGTTTTACTAAGATGTGTTTTTTTTTGTGTCTGTTACCACTTTTTATCTGCCCACAGAAGGGAATTTAAAATGACAACTTTTTCACAAGAAATTAATTTTTTCAACTTAACTTTCGAAAGTGTTCCGGAAGGTCTGACACTTTTATATATATCTTAAATTAAAGTTAATGTAATATACTTTATTATGAAAAAAAAAAATTTCGGACTTTATTTTGTCTTCGTTGTGAAAATGGCTACCAAATGCTATTATTTTGTGAAAATTCTCAATTTTATTTTTTACATTTTTAACTTTATAATAATGTATACAATTTATTTATGAGAAATAATATTTTTTAATAATCTCTTTTTCATTCGACATACTTTATCTTAATTAGGATATTAATAAGGAACTAGCAGTTTATGAAGCTTTTGGAATAATCCACAAATTTTTTAAAATTAAACACTATCTAAAGATTTGCATCGAAGCGTTTTTTTTTGATAGTGATTTTAATCACTGCAGATATCATTATACTTATTCCAACTATGCCACGTCACCACTGTGCCGCGACCCCCCTGAGCTGGGTTTTTTTTTGTTAGGTATACAGATGTCTTAATATCAAACCGAGCTCTATAAATCATTATAGAAAAGCTATAAACAAAATATCGATCCTATATAATATCGATATTGTGTCAATATTTGCCATCCCTATATGTAGTGAAGGTAGATGTTTACTGATGAACATTTTACCTGTTCTTTAGACTGAAAATCATGTATTTTATCTTCTAATATCTTTATTTGAGATATTTGACTTACAGTTTCAAGCTTAACAAATAAATAAATACTGTTAAGAAATACAGCTACATGATTTTTAATTAGACTTTTATTAGAAGGTTGAATTTTAAATAATTTACCAGTAAATTCATATTTTCTTCATTGAGTTTTACATTTTTTGACTCAAAGCTTTTTGTTGTATTTTGATAAGTGTTTACTTTTTCTACCAATTCCTGTATTGTATTGGTATGTGACTCAATATAATTTTTATCAGATATTTCATTTTTAACTAATGTATCTATTCTATTTTCTAAATTTTTTTGGACTTTTCTTAGAGCTTTAATTTGATTTTCCTTAAATTTAGTATAAATTTCCATTTTATTTAATAAAGCATTATTTTTTTCTAGTTCCATTTCAGCATGATTTAAAAATAATGTCATATCATTCTGAAAATATAATTACTTTAATTATAATTTTTAATTTTATTTGCAGTTTCAAGCTTAACAAATTAATAAATACTGTAAAAATACAGCTACATGATTTTTAATTACACTCTATTAGAACGTTTAATTTTAAATAATTTACCAGAATGTTCATATTTTCTTCAACAATTTTTACTTTTTTTGACTCAAAGCTTTTTATAGTATATATATAAATGTTTTCTTTTTCTACCATTTCGGATTCATAAGTTGAATGCATATTTTTAAGNCATGATTTTTAATTACACCTATATAATAAGGATAAATTTTAAATAATTTACCAGTAAGTTCACATTCTCTTCAAAGAGTTTTACATTTTTTGACTCAAATCTTTTTATAGTATTTTGATAAATGTTTACTTTTTCTATTATTTCGGATTCATAAGTTGAATGCATATTTTTAAGATGGTTTATGAAATCATTTGATTTAGTGATCTAAAGTTAATGTAAGTAATTAATGCAAGAAGATACAAATAACAATTTTTATTATAACACATTATTTTTATCTTCTATTGTTAATATATAATATGTTGAACATATTAGTAAAAAAATATTTATATACAAATTATAATAAAAGTATACATAATTTATAAATTGTAATACAATTCATTTATGAATAATTAAAAAAATATTAATATTCAATTATTGTACAAACTCCTAAAAATTATTGTAAAACCTTTTATTTATTTTAAAAAAACACTAACTTTTTGTAGCACCTCTTGTTGGGTATAATGTTCTTCTTGTATTGTATTGGTAAGTGTCTCAATATAATTTTTATCAGATATTTCTTTTTTAACTAATGTATCTATTCGATCTTCTAAAATTTTTTTGTCCTCTTTTAAGATATTACATTCATTTAAAAGTTCAATGTTGTTACTTTCTAAATACTTAATTTTTTTAGACTGTATTTTATTACATTCTTTAAAAGACCCTAATTTTTTTTCTAAAGATTTTTTCATATATTCTAATGGCTGAATTTCAGCTCTTAATTGTACCCCCACAGTTTCAAGTTCTTTAACCGTTTCTTGTTTTTTTTCAATGTCTGACAATGCATTAGACAATTTATTATCTAATAAATTTTCATTTCCTTTTAAGCTTTCAATATGTTTCTCTAATGAGGTCTTCTCTTTGTATAATAATTTAGTGTCTTTTTTCAAAGTTCTAATTTGATTTTCCTTAATTTTTGTATCTATTTCCATTTCTTTTATTACAGCATTTTTTTTTTCTAGCTCCATTTCAGTATGGGTTAAAAATAATTTTATATCATCCTGAAAATATAATTAGTTTAATTATAATTTTTATTATTAAAAAAATTTAATTCATATATTTATTGTTGTGTACATATTTATGTATTTTATCATCTAATATCTTTATGTGAGACATTTTACTTGCAGTTTCAAGCTCAAAAATGTAGTAATTACCAGAGGAAGTAATTAATTACGTCGATTTTAGTATAATATAAGCTTTATAATAATAGTAAGCAATTTTCAAACTCTTAAGCAATATAATAATTCCATATAAAAGGGAAATGCAGGGTAAGCAAATTAATAATGGTGGGAAAAAGAATATAAAAGGGAAACATGAAAAGTATAGGGGGACGCCTTTTGGACGTTTTGTCTAAGAAACGTCGAGTTACATGTTAGGAAATTGGACGATAGTGTCTTTGTACGATTTAATTTTGTTTTGTGTTACATTTTGATATTAACTTTATGTTTAATACGTTTCTTAAATAAAATAGCTACTTAAAAACCTGGACTTAGCGCAAATATTTTTTATTCACCGTGCTTTTAGAATAGTGTGTGTATGTTTGGCTAGAGATAAGGTCCTTNAAATATTTTTTATTCACCGTGCTTTTAGAATTGTGTATGTATGTTTGGCTAGAGTCAAGGTCCTTTAGTCAATCTTAATAATTAGTGGACGAGCTGGCTAGTTTTTGGGCTTAACTGTACTTTAGTGAGTATAGTAAAAAGGTAGTTGTGCTGGTGGCTGACAAGGAGCCATCCTTCAGTCTACTACATTTGAGCTAAACCGTGCTGACGGGTCTAAATTCTAGCCCTTTATTAGTTCACTAATTTGAGGGATTGGGTATGATCAGTTTATCCAACGGGAGGACACGAGAAGAGCTTGAAAGACGAACTCGTCGTCGATATATATATATATATAAAACAATAATTAATTTGTGTAAAACTTTTGTGTCTACATTGGGGCACTACCAACATTCGACATAAAATTGGCACCCAATAAGAGGTTCGTACCGACACGACCCCTCGAAGTTTTTATTTTCGTGACATCGAATTTTGTGTGTGCGTATAATTTCGCAACCGGAATACCCCAAGTTAGTGCAAAATATATTTATATATTGAAGGTTACAATTATATAAAAAAAATCAAACTAATTGGCCGCAACGAAAAATGTTTAACTTTCATGGCGTTTTACAAAATTATAAGATAAGGGTCGCCAACCTACTGGGCGAGACAGTGTATTGACGGACCACAGTAGGATTTAAAAAAAATTAACTTGTGGATATTAAAACAATTAACCAAAAATATAAAATTAATAAATATTAAAGTTGATGTCCGTTGAGT